AGAGCGGTGCAGGGGCTCTGAACTGCCAAACCTGATTGGATGAATTTGTTTGTGTTCCCTCTAATTTTTTAATTTTGAGCATCTTTAGGCCACCTTTTTCTCAGGAAAATCCACCTACTGAGAGTTATTTCCTCTGCCAAGCTTGTCTTGTGGCTGTATGCAACTGTACAGTTGGAGCGCATAGGCAGGGAAAGGGTCCCAGGAATTCTTCCTGAATTTGAAGTTTTGTGCATTAATGAACTTGGAAGCCTGGGACTCTGAGATGGACTTTGTGCAGCATTTCATAAAACATACCCTTTAGAGATTTTTGGCAGGCTGTTCTAATCCTTTAAAGAAATTTTAGTCTGGTGTGATGAAGCCCACAGGGAATTCCCCTAGATCAAACAAGTCTGCTTGTGGGAAGGGTAAAAGAAGGGGGATAGCTATTTCTTGCCACCCTGAGCAGAAGGAAAGGTGTCATCCACACCACTCTTGGCAGCTGCCAGTCTGGCTTAGGGCAAAGAGTTAGCCAGTCTTGCAAGCCATACCTCTTGTAAGCCTAGTCTTACAGTGGGTTCTGTTGGTTTATCTTTTTATAGTTTTAGTGCTTTTTTGTAAACGTGTTTTTAAGTGCGCATCTTCTACGTCTTTCACAGAAATGTCTGTTGTCCCTACCAATGTGTGAACTACATTATAAAGATCATGTGTTCCCATAACAGTCTGATATGAAGAGCATTCTCAGAGCAAAATTGTCCCTTAGAAATGCCATTATTCCCAGGCACTTTTTAGAGGAAATCCATGAAATTTAAGGGTTTTTTAGAGGTGATGCTGCTGCTTAGGCAAGAATTCCCTCAGTTGCTCTTTAACTCAAAAATGTTAATTCAATGTTGTAGTCAAAATTTTTAACTAAAAAAAATTTCAAGGGCATTAGTCCTTGCTCAGTCTACAGACTCTCATTTCTTCTTTAAAAAATGGTTAAAAAAGCCAGTATTGCAAAAACCCATTGTTTGCAGTTGAATTTAGCCAGATAAGCAATGGGGTGTGTGCTGGAAGACTAATTTCCCATGTATTGTCCAATGTATAATGCAGTGGTAACTTGTAGCATATTCATGATGAGTAAAAGTGAAATAATTTTGTCTTCTGATCACTGGAGGTGTGCTGTTCATTGGCATAAAAGATAGCTCTTGAGGTAGTGAAAGTAACTGATGCATGATTAAGGTTCCCATCTGCGCTAGTTTAAGTGAAATAATGTTTTCAGCAGTTGAATAACACAAAGTTGTAAGCTGTGCTAACAACTCACTTGTGTACAAATTTGTCTAGAGTGAGAAAAGAAAAGAATTTGTAGGGGTTTTTTGTTTTATCCTTGGGAAATAGCTCTAGTGTGTAAGTGAGAGATACTTGTACCTTTGTCACTTCTGAATCATTTTCAGATAAAGTTTTGCTGGTTCAGTCACGTACTCTGTCATGGTCACGGAACATAGAAATAGCATTTTTTGGGTAAAATCCAACAAACAGGTGGGTTGTGATTGGTTTGGGTTTTTTGGTGTGGGGTTTTTTTTGTTCTGCTTTTTTAGCAATAGCCACTCAATACTTTTGTCTAAATATATATGACATGACTTCAATTCCTCTCCTTTATTCCTTGCAGGAATATATGCAAGGTATTTTTTTGCACCCCTTTTTACACTGGAGGGAAGAAAGAAGGAAGGAAGAGAGTGTGAAAATGAATGCTTCTATCACAGGGAACGTTTTAATACAAGTTTGCGAAATTTGTTGGGATTCTCTGGTAGTCAGTAATTCACAGGTCCCCCGGAAAGCAGAACTATTTTTTTACCTTTAAGGAAAGGCTGGTCATGTGTGTTCAGTGCATGACAAGACACTTGAGTGCCACCTTCCTCTTATCCCTTTGTAGCCTCAAGATTTGGAGCAGTCCCTGCTAGCCAAGTTGATAATGACTCCAGAAATCCCCCCAGATGCTGTTTTGGACAGAAGCCTTTGCAGTTTACCACCACTGGAGAGAAGGTGCTTGGTAGGAGTCTTTGTGGAATTCATCATCTCTCCTAGCCAGTTCTACATCCACATCTGCAGCAGGGAAGCATCTGATAAACTGCAGGATATGATGATTGAGATGAGGTGCGAACATGCTGTGCTGAGTCAGTACTACTGCCTGTTTTGTGAGTGTGTGCGTGCTGAGGGAACAGGACACTCAGCTGTTAGTTACGGTCACTGCTGGCTTGATTACTTGATACAGAGATGCCAGTGCTGTACTGAACAAGTAAAGTTAATAGTAATTCACAGTAGTTTGGCTGTGTCCTGGACAGCCCTAAACTTTAAAAGCCTGGAAAGGTTATGGAAAGGAACTTTAGGGTTCCTTTGCACCTCTCTATTGTCTGTACTACTGTTGCTAATGTGCTCAGTTAAAGCTTTTACTTCCATCTTGCAACACTTAGCAAAAAGCAACAGGTAAGAGGCCTTTGTCGTATCTGTATTTGGAAGCAAAACCCCATCAGTGGCTTTGTGTCAGTTACATTATGTATTTGGGATTCTGTTCCACCACGACAGTGCTACAGTTGCCGTCAGTTGTGTGCCAGAGTAAATGCTTGATGTCCGTGGGGCACATGTAAGTGTGATTACAGACTGCAGACACATTCTGTGTATGTGAGCCAGTACTCCAGAACATGGTTCATAAGAAGCACTGACGTATCATGATAATGTTAAAAATTAATGACTAGAATGACTTTTTTTAGCCTCTGATCAATCCCCATTAATTAACTTTTTGTTGGACCTCAAGAATATAATTCAAATGTTAGAAGTTTGGGTTTGTGGGGCTTTTTATTGTCATGTCAGTTTAAGTGTGGCAGAACAGAGATGTAAAGGATCTATTAAAACAACTCCTGAAAATTCATGTCATGGGGACTTTGAGAAATTTGGATTCTTCTGAAGCCCTGTATATTTCTCTTTGTTCATCCCCTGCATCCTACCAAGCACAGTTTCTCATTGTGATCTTTTGCAGACACTGTTACTCAAATAAACTTGTTTCTGATCGCTATATCATGCCTGAGTCTTCAGTACAGCCTGGACAGCTTTGCTGTGTAACAGTCTCGAAATGGTGGTACCGCGTTATCATCCATCGTGTGATCAATGACCAAGAAGTAGAGGTGTTCTACCCAGATTACGGAAACCTCGAAATTGTCCGGAAGTCTTGGCTGAGATTCCTCAAGTAAGTAAATTACAGATGGGTGGCAGAATCGCTGAATGATTGAGATTGGAAGAGACCTCTGGAGGTCATCCTGTCCAACCTCCCTGCTCAAGCAGGGCCATCTGGAGCAGGCTGCCCAGGACCATGTTGGGACAGTTTTTGAACATCTCCAAGGATGGAGAATCCGTGACCTCTCTGGTCAGCCAGTTCCTGTGCTTGGTCACCCTCATGGTAAAAATGCTGCTTTCCAGCTGGTCAGCTCCCAACATGTAGTGGTGCGTGGTGTTGTTCCTGCCCAAGTGCAGGACTTTGTTGAGCTTCATGAGGTTCCCGTCTGTCCATTTCTGTGTCGTGGCGAGGTCCCTCTGGATGGCAGTATGACCCTCTGGTGTATCAGCCACTCCTCCAGTTTTGTATCACCAGCAGACTTGCTGAGGGTAGACGCTCCCTCATCATCCAGATTGTTAATGAAGATGTATTGAACAGTATTGAACCTAGTATTGACTCCTGGGGTACACAGCTAGTTCCTGGCCTCCAACTAGACTTTGTACCACTGATGACCGCTCTCTGTGCCTGGCCCTTCAGCAACTTCTCAATCTACCTCGCTGTCTGCTCATCCAGCCCATACTTCATTAGCTTCTCTATGAGTATCTTACAGGATGCAGTGTCAAAAGCCTGACAGAAGTCAAGGTAAATAGTACCCACTGCTCTCCCCTCACCTATCAAGCCACTCATTTCATTGTAAAATGTTGTCAAGTTGGTTAAGCATGACTTCCCCTTGGTGAGTCCATGCTGAGTGCTCCCAGTGACCTTTTTGTCCTTCATGGGCCTCAAAATGGTTCCCAGGATTAGTGGTTCCATCACCTTCCCAGAGATCAAGGTGAGGCTGACTGGCCTGTCTTTCTTCAGAAAGACATCCTAGCATGCAGCTTTCCTTGAAAGGATCTGGGGTTTTATTCCATAATGGTGCTTTGCAGGCACTTCCTTGCTTACATGTTAATGCTTCAGGTGACATTGTTTAAGACCTGTTTTGCTGATCGCTCTGAGCGCTTTGCTCATCAGCCCTGTCCGTCACTCCCTCACAGTGACTTTGGTCTAAATCCTCTCCTGTTTCTGCCTTCACTCCTCGGTCTTTCCTCTTGCTGCTTTCTGTCACTTCGGGGCAAGCTCCCTAGTCCTCTTTCCTGGGTTCCATGAGTGGACATAACATCCACCTGAGTGGACATCAGTCCAAGTGGGATGCATTTGCATTGTCGGAGGTACTTGTTCTCCTCTGCAATTCAGTACTTTTTCCATATTTGCTTCTTCCCCCTTATTTGCCTCTATTTGTGCCTGGCCATTGGCATTCCTTGGTTCAAAAGTCATTGCTCTCTGTCCATAACTTTGTAATCATAAGGGGTTTTGATGGGAAGGCAGAAGGCAAGAGAAGGCAGAAGGGACCAGTTGTTAATGCTGTTTCTGCTGAGCGCATTCTCTGGATATGGAGTGTTTTCCAAAGCTGCTGTTGGGTTTTAGTCATAAGTGCAAAATCCAGTATGTGCCCCTCTATTCCTAAGCTGATCTTAAAAAACAGAAGAGGAGGAAGTTCTGCTCTTCTGCCCGAGTTTGCTCTGGTTTTGCTGCAATGGTGATGGCTTTGTTTTGTATTGTAGGTGGTGCTACTTGAAGCTCCCTGCTCAGGCCATCCCATGTTCCTTGGCATGGGTAAAACCCGTGGAGGTATGTGTTCTCATGCAGTTCTGTTTATTGATATATGTATGAGAGCTGTCAAGTAGAGGTTGGTTTTATATTCTGTTAAGGGCAAAGATTTGGATTAATCCAAGTCCCCATGGATGTTTACAACAGAATTGCTGCTCTTAACGTTCAGCAGAGTATGACTGTGTAAGTCTGTTGTCTCTGCAAGTGATCACCCTTCCTCTGTTTTCCTTCTCATCAGAGTATTCTTACTTATATTGTTGCAGAAACAGATAGCTACTGTTAAGCAAATGGTCAAACTTGTTTCTTCCCCTGCCAGTAGTTCTCCAGGGTCCTTCTGAAGCCTTGGTAGCTCTAGCTGTCTGTTTTAAAAATTTCTTCTGTGACAGAGCTTTAAGGGAGTGGTTTAGTGCAGTCAGCATAGCCAAAGAATTGTAGAGGTTATAAGAAAGTTCTGTGCTGGGAAACCTCTTGGTCAAGAAGCCTGAGAGATACAATCTCTGAAGGAAAGCATGTAAGCAGAGTTGCTTCTTCTGTGTTTTAAAGACATTATTTTAAAGAAGTTATTTCCTCTGTTTTTTGAGGGTTAAAGAATCACAGTTCTCATTGTGGTGAGGCTTAGCAGCTTGTTAAAAGCTTTTGACAGTTTTATAATCGCACGATTCCAGGAATTTAAAAAAAAATAAACCAACAAAACCCAAACAAATAACCCCACAACTGTATTTCAGTCGATTGTGATAAAATCACTGGTGAATGCCATCAAACTGTGTTTGGAAATTGGTGTTTAGGGTGAAAGGGCATTGCAGGTTTTGGGGTAGTTTGATTTAGTACAGTGCTGGGAAGCTTGTCTGCCTGACCTCCCTGTATTTGTCCCTAGCCTGACCTAGCTTAATTGCCTTTTTGACAAGTACCCACAAGGGAAAGTCTCAGGCAGTGGATATTGGTCTGTTTATAGTAACTTGACATTCTTGTTTCTTCTTCAGGGTACGTGGTCCAATGCAGCAACTCTCCTATTCAAGAAGCTGTGTGGCTCCAAGCTACTTGTGGGCATCGTGGATGAGTACGTGAATGGCATTTTGCATCTCTTCCTGTGCGACACATCCACTGAGGAGGATGTCTACTTCCACTGTGTCTTGAGAGACAGGGGATGTGCTGATGTCTGTGGAGAGAACATTCCTTCCCAGGTCAGGAGGGAGGCGTGTGCTGCTGAAAGGAAGGGCAGGGAAAAGTTTGATCGGGTGCCTGTAATGGGAAGATCTTTAGCTTGAAGCAAGTAGTTTTGTGAAGAGCAAAATTGGTATTCCCTGCTTTTGTGTAACTTACCATTTTGTGATGGCATCCCATGGTGTCTAACTCTATGGTGAGAGCTTTCTTTTTGGTTTAAGGGGGAGTCTGATGGTGCAACAGAGACCTGTATCTGGCTTTGTAGAAAAAATTATTTTCATCCTGTCTTCTAACAGTGGATTAGAAAGTTTGATTTTATTTTTTTAAGTTGATTAGGTTGTTAGAAGTGCAGATTCATCTGAAGCTGACACACATCTTGTATAAATAACACAGGAAAGTAAAATAACTATAGATGTTCTGAGCATAAGGCCAAACTGAGAGGGAATTGAGAGATTGTTAAGAGATATGTTAGTTACTTTGCTACCTGTTGTTAATTCCAGCAAGTTTTGCTGGTTATAAATCAGGAGGCCCCTGATTCATCCACACAATTAATGAGAGCGAGTTCATAAGACTTTATTGTCTGACTTAGAGTGCTACGTAGTTGCAGGGGCAGTTGGGTGAGGAACAGTATAGTTAAATAAATTGGTTTGGCCTTCTCAGCTCTAGGCATTGAAGATTGGTTATGCCATTAACAAACTGAATTATGAAAATGATCTTGGTTTAAAAGTCTTTTATGATGTCGGACAGTGTAACCATGGTAGATTGCACATTGTGCCTGGGACAGACGTTCAAGTTGTAAGCCAGTGTAGAGAGCATTTATGATTTAGGCCCGTCTGTGTCATTACCTGAATGTCTCGGCCCAGATTCAGTAAGAACTGTGTGGATATGAAAACCCTTAGAAAGGTACTGCCACGATTTTATATCTCAGCAGAAAGTCAGGCTTTACAGCCCGCAATGTTTGCATCGTTGTTTTATTTGATAGATGCAGAATGCGTGTTTTGGCAGGATTAGATCCTATGATTGTATTTTTGCATGTGTACATCAAATTTTGGGGAAGGGAGGCATTGCTGAGTAATTTTGTTGTTGGAGGGAGGGGAGTTGATTTTCGTAATAAGATAATTTCTGCAAGAATTTGGAGCTAACTTGTGGGTGGTGTGCTTCTTCATAAAACCTGTTAGAAATTTGCTGAATCCTTTTTGTTCTTTGTGGTGGTTACAACATGGGTTTCTTGACTATACTGGGGTTTTTTTTGTTTGTTTGTTCCTAGGGATTCAAGGAACTGAATCCTTCAGCCTTGTATGTTCAGCCCAGTGGAAAGCAGGAGAATGCTGAACTGGTGGAGCCAGACCTCTGC